CCCCAAAACCCCAAAACCCCAAAACCCCAAAACCCCATTGGATAGAAATAAGAAAAAAATTGAGGGAGCTTAGTATTACAATAATTTACATTGATAGCAAAAACTTTAAGATAAAATAAAATGAAGTTTGAATCACAACCCTAATTCAATCCTGAGGACATACTTGGCTCATAACATTAATTAATAAATTACTCCATAATATTGGATGAACTTAATCGCTGAACAATATTCTTAGCAATTCTATATTAATAAAAGACCTAATGAACAACAATTTGCACCACCAAGACACAATAGAATTGACACATAGCCTGTTGTATGGCAAGATTAGGAAAAAAAATTCAAGTATATAAGCCATGAATCCTTAAATCTAAGATATTTGGGACTAAGAATAAAGGAACCACGGGTAATATGCTTCCTTACCAGAGCTTTTAAGCTAAGAAGCATAATAACATATATTTGATTAATCCCACACAGATTACTTCAACAATGGCACAGATAAAGTATAATAATTTGAAGGAGGCGAACAGCAACATCTTAACAACAATGGAGTTTGATGTGTGGGTCTAATAGTAAATGTTTAAGTTTATCTAGTCGGAGATGATGCTTGATCTTATGCACTACCATATTATTATCATGATACCTCGAGAAATGAGCTTAAACAATAAAGAGATAGAGTGGTTCAGAACATAAATTGAATTCTGTATCAGTAAGATTAATGATCTACAATACCTCTAACTAACCTCATCCGTATCAGATCTTACAGAGCAATATGATGAGCAGATACAACAAATACTAATTGCCAAGAGGGAAAAACCAAAGAGAGTGTCGAGTGAATGGCTTAAAACACTATAGTGAGAGTATAAATACAAAGAACTAAAGAGTAGGTATTCAGCTCTGATGGTAGCATACAAATGCGCAGGACCATCTCTATTTATTAACAATCTTAGATGATATCACTAATAAGTTTAATTCAAATTACAAAATAAGCATAAAACATATGCTAACAAATTTTTAATTATTAAAATTTAAATCCCTCAACGATTAAAAATTTTCAAGGTGGGGTTTTGGGGTTTTGGGGTTTTGGGGTTTTGGGG